ATTCGAACCTTGCTTTGTATAGCCATAGTGCAATCTTGCTCACTAGCTTGGTGTTTTGAGTCCACTGACATGCATTGCTTGGGCTATTTGCATGATTTAGCATCATTTGATATATGATTTCAGTGCATGAAATGTGGTCATACTCTCCCATGCTTCACTTTTTCAATGCTTTTGGAAGGTTATGCTTTGTGCCACAATCATGAGCCAATTGACATGCATGCTTGCCTAAGCTTTTTGGGCTATCATCTTAGTGTGTTTTTGGTCTTATTTTTCCATGATACAACTCTGTTTTTAGTTGGTTAGAGCATCTCTCATTTGCTTCTTACACTTGTAGTGTAATCATGCTCATTGGCCTTGCATGCGTCATGCTTTATGCCTCCCATTCTAGCATATGTTGGCTATGTTCAAGCATGTTTCTAGCATTGTTTTGACCTGCCTTGGGACTATTTTAAGTCATTTTGGCCCTTTGGGGCTTGCTTGATATGGCTATGGTGCAAGTGCCTTTTCTAGCCTTAAGCTTTGAGCCTCCTAGCATGCTTCATTTGTGATATATGCATGATATGACATCATTTCTCACATGATTTCAGAGCATATAGTCTTCCTAAACTCTCATGTTTATTACTCTTTAATTGTGTTTAAGAGTTGTGCTTCTATGCTTTGTTGGTGAGCCAATGCATGAACATGCATTTTCTTGCCTTTCATGCCATCATTTCAGAGCATTTTGGCTATTATTTTGGCATGCATGAGGTCAGTTTGGGGCTGGTTTGGTCCATTGAGTATTGCATTACATAGCCCTTGTGTTGGGTCCTTCACTAGTTTCAATGCTTAAGGACTCTAACTTGCCATGCTCATGTTGTTTGCATGTTGTTGCATCGCATTGTGTTTGGAATGTTGTTGTGTTACATTGTGTTTGGATTGGGTGTTAATCCAAACATGAGAAAACGAGGGGCGTTTCATACTTGAAGTGATGAAACGCGCCTCATTTCTCGATCGCCGACCCTCTTGATCAAGCATGATAGAGGTGGAGGCCCTTATGTGTTAGTTGTGCATTCATTGACATTGACTTGTGCAATCTCGACTTCTCGGCCATCGTGCATTGTGATGCTTGGTTGGTGGCCCGAGAGTCGAGTACCGCACTCCCTTGAGCTTGAGAAATGATAGGGAGGGTGGTTGTGCACACATATCTTGCAAATACACTGCTATGCCCTTTTTGTTCTCTGTTGCAGCAAAACTGGAGTTTGGTAGATTTTCTGGTTGGCAGACTAGTAAAGGTGGTCAACCGACCACTTTTTCTAGTCTATAACCAGTTTTTCTGGTCTACAGGTGGTCTACACCACCCTTTTCTGGTTGGCAGCCCACCAGGAGGTCTCCATGTTGGAATAGAAGCAATTTGGAAGTTTGTGCAGTGTTCTAAGATCAAATCAAATGCAAACAGAGACAATTATGGGCATAGTAATGGATTTTCGAGCGAGGAAACCGAGCATGCATCATTCATTATTCCGAGGCAGAGCTGTGGCAACCTAATTTAGCTTCTTTTACTTACTTAGTTGGTCTTGTAACTTAATTAATTTGATTAATTAGTTAAAGTTTTGTAATAATTAATTAGCTAGAATAGCATAGTTAATTAGTTGGTTTGTAATAGTTAGATTAATTAACGTAGCTAGTTAGCTTTCATATTATTCGGACCCTCCGTCGAGAGGGCAAATGTTGTAATAAGGGTGCGTGTGTGTGTGTGCATGTCTTCCAACCCCATTTTCTTTCTCCTTTTTACTTATCAGCTTTTGATGGTTAGTTTAGGGCATATTTCAATTAGCATACTTATGCTTGCATGCGTGCATCATTCATTCATCTTGCATGCACCGGGCTCGGCACATCATTCAAACTGCATTGTATTTCAATATACCGACTTGAATACGTGTTTCACAACATGTTATCAAGTGTTGCATTCATATGCCATCTTAGAACAGCCGAGCCTATTTAGCTGCATTTTGCATGTGTTGCATTAGGCATCTTAATATAGCTAGGATCATGAATTGATTACTAACTAGCTTCTGTTTTGGCTCGGAATACACTGTGAGTGTTTATGCTTTAGCATCCTTGTATGTGTGTAAGTGACTGCCATGATAGCATGCTTGCCATGAGGCTAACTGCTTAAGTGTTTAACTGCATGAATGCCTGTGGATGAAGGCTTTATTACTTGAATTGGAACAATTCATCAAAATGTGAGTTTTAAGCCTACTTGAGGGTGGCAAAATCATGTTGTTTCAAGCCCACCTTGTTTGGTGGCAAATCCGCGTTTTAGCCTACTTGCGAGTAGCATCTTCAAACAATTTTTGAAAAACAAACATGAGATGTTTTGTTCCAAATCGAGCGATTTAGTCTATACTTGTGTGCTGTGCGCATCACATAGTAAGTTAGCTAATAATCTGAACATGAACACATGTGTTTTCAAAACAACATATCATGATTAGTAGAGGCCGATCCTTTGATCGGGCGAGAGGAGGTGCTCATTTTATGACCTTCCCCCCTCGTACCCAAGTTCCGGAGCTGAAGCAACTTTGGTGATGACGGACACGTGGCCTTAGGTACGAGTCAGGATTTCTTAAATTTTCCAAAACAAAATATTTAGGTGGCGACTCTGAAATCTGGCAAAGTAGTCCATGTTTGGCACTTCTTGATTAAAATCAATTTTCCAAAATGATTTGCTGGATTTGGACTCTTTGGTGATTTATCAGTCTTACATTGCACTTTGTGAGATTAGATTCAGAACCATGACAGGAGTCTGAACTGTAGTAGCTATGAACCCAATTTGCGCCCTCGCGCGCGAAACGAGTTTGGGCGGTCTACAAGCTGGCAATACCAATCTCATGGTTGGGATTCAACCATCATTTAATTGAATTAAATCTAGAAGGGTAGGAAAATTTAAATTTTTTTATTTTTTATTTTTCTTTCTGAACTTATAATTAGCTATGTGTTTTGACGAAGGTGGGTGGAAACCGGTGTTCCGTTGAACACAAGGTAGGCATGGACCATTAGCAAATCTACACACAATCTTTATGGATGGGATTCCAGAATTGATGAATCCTAAAGGACTGTCCACTATGTTTTCAAACTTCGGTGTTGTCAAAGATGTTTACATCCCAAAGAAAAGGAGAAAAGCTATGAAAATTAGATTCAGATTTGTAACGTATGACTATCCTATTGTAGCAGGGACAACAATTCAAAAAGCTAATGGAGTATGGTGTGGTGCTAAAACTTTGAAGGTGAAAAAGGCTGATTTTGGGAAAGACAAGGACCTAACAAATTCAAGAGTAGTAGCACAAAAACTAGTTGGGACAACAAGATCAAATGGTGCTGGTATTGGAGCGAGAAGCTCTTACGCTGAGGTTCTGAAAGGAGGGAAGAACGATAGTGGTAATAACATCAGAATCAAGGAGGATGAATATGCCATTGGTTGGCTACTACTGAGTGCAGTAATTAAATTTAAAGCCCATCGCAGCTTTGATGATTTCAAGAAAGAATGTCGAAATAGAGTGTTGAAGGACATTCAACTCAAAGAAGGCGAAGGGAGAAATGCACTTATTACTTTCCAATCAAAAGAAGACATGAAGCAATTGATGAACCGTTTGGTGATCGAATAATGGAGTGGTGCGAGTCAATCATTGAACGGAAGAAAGGTATAAGGTTGGATAATGAAAGATTAGTTTGGTTAAGTTGTTTTGGAATGTTTCAAAACCTCTGGAATGTTAATAACTTCTGAAAAATTGGTGAAGTTTGTGGTGAAGTAGTTGAGCTTGATCATAACGTTTTAAGCATGGAGTCTCTGAAGTGTGGGAAATCAGAATTTGCACATCTCAACTGGAACATATTGATAAAATGGTTATTTTGGAAAGAGATGGTAGTATCTACCCTGTTTGTGTAATCGAAGATGGGGGTTTGTCAACAAAATCCATGGGCGATGGTGATCAAAGCTCTGCAACCTACCATGAAAGTAGGAATGAAAATAATGACATGGGAAACATTGTAGTTGATGTAAAGAAAAGTCGTGACATGGAAGATAGTAAGAAGACTAATGATGTGTTGGTGGGGGCAGGATATGATCAAATGTGTAATTCAATCTTTATATCTATGGTTAATGAGACAGGTGTAGAAGTGGGAATTTGTAATCATGTTGAGGATAACCTAGTACCCAATGTAAGCTTGCAAGCATCATTATTACAGGAGGTTGAGGGGAGTGGAAGACGAGGAGTTGAGGTGTTGGAGACATCAAATAGGCCTAATGGACTCATGAGAAGTTTAAGTGAAATAGATTTAATTAGGCCCAACATATCTTTGGAAATGGTTCTGAATGAAGCCCACTTTGATGGGAATAGTAAGGGGCCTCAAAATGATAAGGCAATTCTTGTTGAGGAGGAAAGCCAAAGTGAAGAAGTTGGGGATGGTGAAAGTAATGATGATGAGTTCAGCCCAAATGAAGATGAAGGGGAAGTGTCTCGACCTGGTGCATATGTTTGGGCTATTAGAGTCGAGGCCCAATTAAATGAAAGTAAAAGGATAAGAACACAAAAGGGATTCAGTGATAATGAGAAGATTAACAATTATTACAGGAGACATCATTATTACAACAGGTTGAGGGGAGAGGAAGACAAGGAGTTGAGGTGTTGGAGACATCAAATAGGCCTAATGGACTCATGAGAAGTTTAAGTGAAATAGATTTAATTAGGCCCAACATATCTTTGGAAATGGTTCTGAATGAAGCCCACTTTGAGGGAACAGTAAAAGGCCTCAAAATGATAAGGCAATTCTTGTTGAGGAGGAAAGCCCAAGTGAAGAAGTTGGGGATGGTGAAAGTAATGATGATGAGTTCAGCCCAAATGAAGATGAAGGGGAAGTGTCTCAACCTGGTGCATATGTTTGGGCTAATAGAGTTGAGGCCCAATTAAATGAAAGTAAAAAGATAAGAACAAAAAAGGGATTCAGTGATAATGAGAAGATTAACAACGATGGAATTCAGGGTAAATTCTGGAGAAGAAATGGGAGAAATGGGACACCATTCAGAAATGGCTTCCAAAGAGGTGCCCTTGTTCGAGCAGCAGCATTGGTTACCTCATCATCACTATCTATTAGCAACACCTTATGCAAGCAAAAGAAAATCAGAAAAGAAGCAGAGGCCACCGTACAGTTGGGAATGAAGTTGGGTTTGGCAATGAATGAGAATGAAGCTGAAGCTGTGGAGTGAATAATTCAGATGGAAAACGAAGACATTGATAGAGTGAAGGCAAAAAGGGTGGTGCCAGGTACTTAATTCTAGCACTTGATAATGGGGCTTTGGTGAGTACTTGTGTCTTTATGAAGATTCTATCCTGGAATGTGAGAGGGCTTGGTAGGGCAGATAGAAGATTAAGGGTTAAGGAATTGCTGAAGTTGAAAAATGTTGACATGGTTCTGCTACAAGAAACAAAACGGTCAAGCATTGATGTAAGTGTTGTCAGATCTTTGTGGCCTGTTGATTTGATAGAGTATATGGCTGTGGATGTGGATGGAAGTGCTAGTGGGTTGCTATGCATCTGGAATCCTGAGATTTTCTCATTGAAGAAGTGTTGTTGTTCCAGAAGTTTCATCATTTTGGCAGGTATTATGTATTCTTCTCTTAATTGTGTAGTTGGTAACATTTATACACCAAACGAGGATTTGAATATGAGGAGGTTGTGGGGTATATTATCCAATTTGAAGTCTGCTTTCCCTAATCCATGGTGTTTAAGGGGGGACTTTAATGAAGTTAAAACTATTAGTGAAAGAAAAGGGTGTATCAGGAGGGACAGAGGTATGGGTGACACTACAACAAAAACACACTTTAGTGGCACTACACTAGTGGCATGCTTTAGAAAATGTCACAAAAATAATATTTGGGAACCCGTTTTAGAAAAATGTCACAGAACCAGAAACATATAAGGCTCTAGTGGCATTTCAATAAGGAAATGTCACATCCATTTTATGGCATTTTATAAAAGAATGATACAAGAAATTGTTTTAGTGACATTTATCAACAGATGTCACAAAACTTTAGTAGCAATGGCATTTTTAAAAAAAAACGTTAATAAACTAGGTAAGTGCATGTTACTTTTTATGGCATTAGGTGAAAAGTGTCCTAAACAAATATTTTATAGCATTTTGAGAAATGCCACTAAGCCAAAAACTTTCTAAGCTATCTAATGGCATTTTTTGAAAAAACAAAAAATGTCAATATATTTTCAAAATTTTTAAAATGCAGAAAATAAATAAAAACAAATAAATTAAACTCAATATAACATGTTTTTTTAACTGTACTTGCCACATGTACAAAATTGATCAACGACTTTATATGACTTAACAGGAAAAATAAAATTTCAAATTGTTCTCTTGTACAATGATAAAGTTTCTTGAATTTTAGTCCCTGTAGTTTCAATTAACTCGAATTTGACTCTGAATTTATGGATTTATCTCAATTTATTTCAATTGCTTCTAATTGTGGAGTAAATTACATTAATAATACTTAGATTTTGTTGCTCCATATAGTTTTGTAGTTTCTATTATTTTATTCCCCTCTCTCTCTCTCTCTCTCTCTCTCTCTCTCTCTCTCTTCAGTCAAAGTTTGATATTCCAAGTTATGCTTAGACTTGGTTTATGAAGTCACTACAAGAAATTCAAGCTATAGTAGCATTTTTTTATAGCAGCGCCTCAAAAAACACAGCTATAAAGTGGTTATTGTGACAGTCATTAACCGCAATTAAAAATTAAATTTTTAGTCACATTTTTTTTAAACTACTGCTATACATATTTTTTTAGCTACGTTTACTACTCAACCGCTACAATAGGTCAAACAAATAAGGCACCCAAAAAAACGCCAAAAAAAAATTCTGATTTAGCACTCCGAATTTCAGTAAAAAAAAAAAACAGTTCAACTCTAGGTCGATCTATCTATACTTCTTGTGCCCTAGTCTATCTATACTTTCACGAAGCAACACCAAGAAGTCACAGAGGCTTCTTGATTTCACAAGCTATAGCCCACCGGTGTATCGACTAGTGTATCAATGGTTCATCCTCTATTGGTGTATCGACCAATATATCAACGATTTCTGATTTCAGGTCAGTTTGCTCTCTCTCTCTCTCTCTCTCTCTCTCTCTCTCTCTCTAGACACTCATCATGTACCGACATACCAATCAAATCCATAAATTAATAATCTATATATTTCATCCTCCATCGGTGTTTCTCATATATGCTTCAAAATAAACCCAAACTAGAATTCATACAACTCCCAATCTTCCAGGGACCACAAAAACCCTAAATTTTTGCTATGATTTCATGTTAAAATCTTGGGGTTCCTTTGGTTTTTGTGTTCCTTTTACCATAAGTAATGGCTTCAAAACCAGTTCCAAAAATTTTAATCATCTTTACGTTGACTTGTACACTAACAAGCACATATTCTCTTCCTTTTGTCATCTTCCATGGTAATTTTCTCATCATTCTATACGATCTCCTTGATTATTCATGCCCACAATATGCTCTGTTTACTTTAATTAACAATTCATTATTGAGAATTGTAATATGAAGATCACAGTGTAATGATTAAGTGTTATTGTTACTAAGTTGGTGTTGGACTTTTACAATTTGGTTGGTTTAGATGTGGGTTTGTTGGATTTTGGAGTTTTGAAATTTTATAAGTAACCTTAAAATGGTTGACATCCCAATGTTAGGTAGGCAATACACTTGGGACAACTCTCAGAGTTGGAGCAGGATTGACCGATTTCTGGTTAACCCTGAGTGGTTGGAATAGTACAGATACAAAGTTTAGGGGTTACTTGGACTTTTTTTTTTTTTCTGATCATAACCCATTTTTCTAATGGAAGATGATAGGAATTGTGGTTCGAAACCTTTCAAGTTCGTCAATGCTTGGCTTTTACACGCCAAATTTCTTGACGAAACAAAAAGAGCTTGGAAATCAACATGTGTACATGGATGGGCAAGCTATATAATTATGGAAAAGCTGAGAGCCTCAAAAGTAGCTTTGAAAAGATAGAATATGGAAGTATTTGGTGATGTGGAATCAAAATTGAAAGAAGTTGAAAGTGAACTACATTATTTGGATTTACAATTTGAATTGAGGGAGTTGGCTGAGGTGGAAGAGGTTTGGAAGCTTAGAAAAGAAAAGAGTGGATGTGGGTACAAAAATCTAGGATGGACTGGGCTCTGAAAGGTGACAGAAATACTAGATTTTTCTATATTATGGCCACTAAGAGACACAACCGAAACTTGATTGCTTCTATTACGGTTAATGGGGTTGAGGTTGAAGAACCAAGTGAGGTCAAACAAGCAGCTTGTTACCATTTCCAGAATTTATTTACTGAACAATGGAGGTATAGGCCAAGAATCAGAGGAGACTTCAAGAAGATTGATGCTAACCAAGCAGTTGACATTTTGGAGAAAGAATTCATAGAGGAATAAGTTTGGGTTGCTATAAAAGAATGTGATGGCAACAAAACCTAGGCCCAGATTGGTTTAACATGATTTTTTTTTTTCAAAAAGGTTGGAAGTTCTTGAAAGGTGACATCATAAAGTTTATGAAGGAGTTCTATAATAATAGTAAATTGGGTTATAGGGTAAATTGCTCTTTTGTTACTCTTATCCCCAAGAAGGAGAATCCAAGCTCTCTTCTTGACTACAAACCTATTAGCCTAATAAATTCTCCATATAAAGTGCTGTCCAAAGTTTTGGCCAATAGAATCAAGCAAGTCTTGCCTATTGTGATTGATAAGGCCCAGTCTGCTTTTGTGGGGGGAATAAACATTGTGGATGGAGTGCTTATAGCAAATGAGGTGGTGGATTGGTGGAAAAAATCAAAGAAGAAGGGCCTCATTCTCAAATTGGACTTTCAGAAAACGTACAACACTGTTAACTGGAATTGTTTGCTGCAGATGTTATCTAATTTTGGTTTTGGATCAAGATAGATTAGATGGATAAAATAATGTATGGAATCTCCTAGAATCTCTATCTTGGTCAATGGCTCACCGTTTGCTGAATTATGTCCACAAAAAGAGCTAAGACAGGGTGATCCTCTTTCCCCTTTCTTGTTTAATGTTGTTGCTGAAGGGTTGAACATATTGTTGTCAAGAGCTAAGGAGTTGAGGATGATAAAAAGAGTGACAGTGGGTGATAGAAAGGTTAACATATCTCATCTTCAGTTCATTGACGACACTATTATATTCTGTGAAACTGAATGGGCTGAGATTGTGGCTGTGAAACAAATTTTGAGATGCTTTGAAGTGGTGACGGGGTTGAAGATAAACTTTCATAAAAGTATGATTTGTGGTGTGAGAGTTGAAGAGGGGTTGGTTGTGGAGTTTGCAGCTAAACTTAATTGTCTGAGTCGTAAGTTACTACTAAATTATCTTGGTTTGCCACTTGGAGCTAACCTATGTAGGAAACAAACATGGCAGCCAGTGGTGGACATATTTAAAAGAAAATGGTCTGGATGGAACAGAATGATGCTCTCTTATGCTGGAAAAGTCACTCTTATCAAATCTGTTTTGTATTCCTTACCTATCTATTATATGTCTTTGTTTAAGATACCTGGGTGTGTTGCTAAGGAAATTGATAAGATTCAAGCAAGATTTCTGTGGGAAGAGGATGAATCTAAAAAGAAAATCCATTTAGTAAAGTGGAAAGAGGTGCAGCTGAATAAGAATCAAGGAGGTCTTGGATTCAGAGATATCAAATTGACTAATGAGTGTTTACTACTCAAGTGGTGGTGGAGATATGCCTTGGAAAATGAGGCTTTGTGGAAATTTGTGATATGTGCTAAATATGGTGTATCTAGGGGTCAATGGTTTGCTCCATTCAATGATCTTGTTTCTGTTTCTATTATATGGAAAGAGGTTCTTGCTATGTCATATTTAAATCCTAGGTTGTATAATTTCTTTGTGGACAATGTAGAGTTTAGGATTGGTGATGGGAATAGGGTGGAATTCTGGGATAATATTTGGCTGGGAACATCAAGCCTAAAATCTCAATTTCCCAGGTTGTACTAGCTGAATTTAGATAAGGAGATCACCTTGAAGATGCAGAGTTCTTGTAGAGACAATAGCAACAAATGGTGTTTTAATTTTAGAAGGCCTCTCTGTGGATAGGAAGAAAATGAGGTGATAAGGCTACAAAATCTGTTGGGAGCAGGGCCATGTAATAACCCGACCCTCGTACATGTTTTCTGATATATTTTCAGTCCCTTGTCATGCACATTTAAATGCTTATTGTGAACTTCCATGTTAAATTAAGTAAATTAAGTGAATCCAATGTTTATGAATGTATATCTGTTTAACAAGAAAAGTATCTGTTACATTTATAATGTCTGAATTCGAAATTGGAAGCCTTAAAGGCTTAATTATCTGAAATTGATTATATATATGTGATCAGTATAATTTTTAAGTAATACTAAGCATGTTTATGAAATTTCAATTTCGGGATGATTAAACGATTGGATTTTGTCCTATATGCTTTTATTTATCTTGATCAAAAAACGTGAAATACCTCTTGGAGAGAAGTAAGGGTTTGGAAGGAAGAGAAGAGGTCTTCAGGGGAGCAAGTGAGGAAGGGAAAGTGAGGTAGATCATCAAAGAAGGTTGGGAATTTGAGAGATCTAGGCACAAGGTATGTAAATTTCACTTTAATTGACTCCTCTTCTTGTATTGGGGTATGAATTTCTTGGGTGTTCAAGTAAGGTAAGAGTTGTGTTGTGGTGTGTGTGTGTGTTTGACACTTATGGAATTGAAGAAGTATGATCATCATGTTGTAGTTGTGTTAATTTGAACCATAAGAGGGAAAATTACATACTCTTTATGATTTTACATGCTTGCATCCAATTATGTGAGAGATGAATTGTGTATGTATTTGTAAGAGAAATGGGTTGTGATGGTGAGAGAGTGAAGAAGATCGAATCCATGTGCAAATGGTTGTATGTTTGTACCCTATTTACATGATTTTTGAGCTATGTTTTAGTATTTAAAGAATCTATTGTGGACCTTGTTGATGATCACCAAACATGGGGTTTTGTATGAAATTCGGACTGCCAAACAAGGCCCAGGCTGCACATGCGGAGGCCATGGCTGTAATGCCCTCAAAATAATAACATTAAACCCATCAAATAAGACATTCATTAACATATGAAATAACCACATTCCTCTATTCATCAGAGTTTGATTACAAAAGTATTACATGTTAACAACAAAAGCAAAATGCCCTACGGGCTTACAGCTTTCCAAGTTAACACTTTTTTTCTTTTGCCGATCAAAAAAAATAAATTAAAAAGGCGATAAATCACACATTATCCCTTTTAAATTTCAATATTTTCTTATTTTCATCTTTAAATTTGGTTTTTAATCACTTTGATGCTTATTGTTTTAAAATCAGTCTACAAACTCAGAAAATAAACAACCAAAGGATTGTAATCTGTGTGGCTAACTCTTTGACCACCAAAAAAGAAGTCTTAGATCCATTTTTAATAGTGAAATAGGAGGCAAAATAAAATACTTGCAAGACAAAAGTAAGAGTTCCATTCCCTCGAAGGTGCAAAACCAAATATCATTGTTGAGCCACATCTTATATTTTGTTGCCCTTAAGTTCTAGTATGTTTCCATTTTGCTTCCTAATTTTTTAAATTTATTTGAATTTGCTCTAACATCCAAAATTTGTCCAAAATTTTGATGGAAAATGTTGTGTTGTTGCCATAACCCCAACCCCCTTCTCTGATAATATTCTCCATCTTACTTCTATCACTACAAGAAAAGTGAGTATATGAGACAGAACTATTTGCGACGGCACACTTGCCGTCTCAAAAAGTCACTTTTTGCGACGGTAGAAAATGTTGTCTCAAAAAAGCAGAGTATTTGCGACGACAAATACTCTCATTTTTTGAGACGGCAAATTGTGCCGTCGCAAATGCTCTCATTTTTTGAGATGTCGCAAATACTCTCATTTTTTGAGACGGCAAATTGTGCCGTCGCAAATGCTCTGCTTTTTTAAGACGACAAATGGTGCCGTCGCAAATACTCTGCTTTTTTGAGACGGCATTTTCTACCGTCGCAAAAAAGTGACTTTCGTGTTTTTTTATTTTTATTTTTAGTGAATATTTTTAAAATTTTAAATATTTTTTTTAGATGCACCTTACTTGGATGTATCTAAAAAATAAAAAAATTATGAAAAAATATTTTTAAAAATTAATAAATACATAAAAATACAAAAAAAATGTATTGAATTATTGTATTTTTGTTATTTAGTGAATTTTTAAAAGATTTTTTTTTACAATTTTTAAATTTTTTAGGTGTATTTATGTTAGATGTCTCTAAAAATTAAAAAAAAATACTTAAAATATTAAAAAAATTCAGTAAAAACAATATAACACGGAAAAAAAGAAAGTATAATTTTCTCAAAAGAGTTTTTGGAAAACTCTAACCTAGCATAGTGATTGTGGTTTTGAGATAGCTTCATATATATACAGTCACAAAATGGTTTGAATCAATTCAACGGTATTTTTCTATCGCAAAAAAAATAAAATAAAAAAAATAATGTCGTTTTACTCTTTTGATATAACATTTCTCTTTTCATTCATTTTTTCATCTTCCTGTCTCTCTGTCTCTATTTCTCTCTCTTCTCTTTATCTCTTTCACTCATCATTCTTCTTTCTCTGTCTGTTTCTCTCTCTCATTTTCTCTCTGTGCCTCTCGCATATCTCTCTTCTCTCTATCTCTCTCTTCTGTTTTTTCTCTTTGTCTCTCTCGCTCATCTCTCTTCTCTCTCATTTCTTTTCTCTCTCTCTTTCTCTCTCTCTTATCTTTCTATCTCTCTTTATCTCTCTCGCCAATTTCTCTTTTCTTTCTGTCTCTCTCTTTTTCTGTGTCTCTCTCTCGCTCATCTCTTTTTGCTCTATTTTCTCTCTCTTTTTGTCTATCTCTCGCTCATATCTTGTTTCTCTCTCTTTTTCTATCTCTCTCTCTCTATATCTCTCTCTCTTTCTCTCTCTATCTTTTTTTCTGTCTATCTCTCTCTCACACATCACTTTTCTCTCTCTCTCTCTCTGTCTACTTGTCTATTTGTCTATTTCTCCGTCACTATGTTCGCCTTGCTCACTCTCTTACTCCCATCGTCTCTATTTATCGAGCTCCTTCTCAATTTATCGATCCACTATAAGAAAATACACTTTTAGCAACCACTTTGTCTCTCTCTCTCTCTCGCTTATCACTCTATCTCTGTCTCTCTCTATCTCTTCTTTATTTGTCTCTCACAAAATTAAAATTTTTTAAAAATATTTAAATATTTAAAAAATTGATTTGAATTAAGTTTTGAAAAGAGTTTTGAATTATGTGTTTAGTTATGAGTTTCGAAAAGTAATGATTATATTTTGAATTGAGTTTTGAAAAATGGATGTAGAATTATGATTTGAAAGCTCAAAACAAATACCATACTTAAATTAATGGGTGAAACTATGACCACTACTATTACCACTCTCTCTGTCTCTTTTTTTTTTTCTTCCAACGTCTCTCTTGTTAATCTCTTTTCACTTTCTTTCTCTCTCTTTTTGTTTATCTCTTGCTCATCTCTTGTTTCTCTCTTTTTCTGTCTATCTCTTTCTCTCTCCGTCTCTCTTTCTCACTCATCACTCTTCTCTCTCTCTCTGCTTGTCTGTTTGTCTGTCTGTCTCTCTCTCCTCCACTGCGTTCGCCTTGCTCACTCTCTCCCTCATCTCTTCTTTATTTATTGAGCTCCCTTTCGATTTATCGATCCACTACAAGAAAATGCACTTTTAGCGACCACTTTGTCTCTTTCTCGCTCATCACTCTATCTCTTTCTCTGTCTCTCTATCTCTTTTCTCTATTCGTCTCTCACCAATCTCTCTCTCTCTCACCACCCATATTCTCTACTATATTTACCACTACTGCAAATGCCATTCAACTACCACCACTCTTCTCTTTCTTTCTTTCACTCATCACTATTTTTTTTTCTATCTGTTTGTCTATCTGTCTGTTTGTCTGTTTGTATGTCTGTATGTCTGTCTGTATGTATTTTGTTCATCTTTCTTCTCTCTATCTCTCTCATTTGTCTTCTCTCTCTGTCTCTCTCGCTCATCTCTCTTCTCTCTATCTCTCTCATCTCTTTTCTCTCTCTCTGTCTCTTTCGTTCATTTCTCTTTTTCTCTCTCTCTGTCTCTCTCGCTCATCTCTCTTCTTTCTATCTCTCTATTTTTCTATTCTCTCTCTCATTTATATTTTTTCGCTCTCTTTCTCTCTCTTTTTGTTTCGCTCATCTCTTGTTTCTCTCTCTTTTTCTCTTTCTCTCTCTCTATCTCTTTCTCTCTTTGTCTGTTTGTCTCTCTCTCTCTCTCTCCGTCTCTCTCTCACTTATCACTCTTAATAGAAAATATTTTTTATTAAAATATTATTCTTACTTCTACCAAATAAAAAATAATAATAATAATTTTTTATTCATTAAAATAAAAATGAAACAAATAAATTTTCAACCTTGATAACGAAAAGAAAATAAAAATTATTATTTATTTATTTTTATTATTTAAATATTCATTTATGATGAAAATTATTATTGATTTTTTTTTTCTCAATCCCGCCTGCTCGGTTCCCCCCATTTTTTCCATTCCCGCGTTCCTCAAAATCCCCAATCTCTTAGAACCAAAATCCCTAATTTCTACCAAATCTCTCTGTCTCTCTCTCTCTCTCTCGCGACTGTAAGCATGGGCGACGACGGCGTCGAGCCACGGGCACCAGTGAATGAAGGAAGCCAGACATCGACGACTATTGTCGGAGTCCTTCGCTTCTCTATCGATAGCCGTTACCAGCAAACGAAGTTCTCTGGTTCTATGTTTCTCTGGTTCTTTGTTTCTCTTTTTCTCTGGTTCTATGTTTCTCTTCGAATCTCATCAAAGCTATGTATTGTATTGCTGGTTTGAACAATAGGCTTGAATCTCATCGGGGGTTTAGCTAAAGACACTACATTAGGTCAGCTCATTCTTCTTTCAATTGCTTCTGCAAAAATATCTAGATTGTTTTGTTTGATGGCAAATTCTTCAATTTACATTATGATATGGTTGTTTGATGTTTGTGTTGTTTGATGTTTGTTTTGTGTGATTGGGGGTGGTGTGTGAGTGTAGATCAGTTCACGAAGTACTTTGGGAAGTACAGGGAGATTACAGATTCGGTTATAATGAAAGATCGGCACACTGGTCGACCCAGGGGTTTTGGGTTTGTCACTTATGCTGATCCTTCTGTTGTTGACACTGTTTTTTCTGAAACCCATGTCATCAATGACAAACAGGTGCTTTTCCTCACTTGGGTTATTTACTTTGGAAGAAAAATCTTTGTGCATTTTGTGTTTCTGGGTTTTGCTATTTTTCCTGATAGGAAAAACTGTGGCGAAGAGAGAAGAAAAATAGAAAATTTGATGCTTTTCCTTAACTTTACATCTTGTTTAGTGCCTTTGAACTTGGAACTTGAAACTTGAAGTAATAAACATTCCGTGCCAAAGTAAACAGAAGCTTACTCTCTTAAATTTCTATTTAATTTTTGTTCTCCACAAGACTTCCTCTATGTACCCACCCAAATAAATGTGTTTGTTTCAAGATTGGCTTGGAAATTTATCTCCCTCTGGTGTTGGTTTGGAAAATATATACGAAATAGTTAGATTAGTGTCAGGTAATTTTGTTTTAATATCCCAAGATCCTAAACAATGAAAAGTAACCCCTTTTACATTTTTTTTGGGGTTTATATTGTATAAGGCTGCTCATGAAAAATAATAAATAAATAAAGTTTACTGGCAAATGCATTATTAACCGACAACTATGTTTAAAATTCTCTGTGAACAATGTGATTTCCCTTTATCACTGGCCAATGGAGAAATGCTTTCTGCTTGATTGCTGTGAAAGTCGGAAAACAAAAGAATGCTTGGCATACTACCTATTACTGCATAGGGTTAGGTTAGTTTGGAAGCAGGTTGAACTGTTGTTTTGCTATTGAGGACATAGCTGTGCTGCGATGTGAAGTACTGTTTTTTGACTGATGCTTGACTTGTGATGCTTGACTTGTGATGAATTGTATCCAGGATGCCTCTATAATTTTTGTCGATAAAATTTGTTATTATTGAGGAGATTTGGATTGTTGAGTTGCTGGAGAATCTCTCCACTTTTCTGAAAGTGCATAGAACTTTGACCAAGATAATATCTTCTGTCAGAAGGTTTAGGCATTGCAACTTACACGGTCAAATTTCTGAGCAGGTTGAGATCAAAAGAACAATTCTGAAAGGTTCTGCTGAATCTATGGATTTTAAAACAAAGAAGATTTTTGTTGGTGGGATACCTACCTCTGTCACTGAAGGTGTGGTATTTACTTTATTTTTTGCCCCCAGATCACGGTCTGGGATTGCACATTTTAATTTGCATGTTCTTCTGCTATTGTTGTTATCCTGGTTAAACTGGTTCCCCATTCTTCTCAGATGAGTTCAAGAATTTCTTCTCAAAGTATGGAAAGGTAGTGGAACACGAGATCATAAGAGACCATGTCACTAAACGCTCTCGGGGCTTTGGATTTGTTGTATTTGACAACGAACAAGTTGTTGATACTATTCTGGCCAATGGAAATATGATTGATATGGAAGGCTCACAGGTGAGTTTAGTCCAATGGGTCATTACCATATCAGATGTACAAGGACATAGCTTTTTTGTGTTCAAACCAGCAATACAATATTACTTTTACTCTTAAGGGTCTTGTATTTGTAGCTTTTCATCGAATAAAAGATAATATTGTCATTGCCTAAAGGCAGGATTGCATTTTTTTTTTCGTAGATGAGGGAGCAGAAATGGGCTGCTCTTTTGAAAGAAAAAAGGGCCTCTAGTGGATTGACAAGCCCTCCCCGTGTCATTGTGAGTATCCTGTATATGATATTTTTTAAAATGTTTGTATTGTTTGGACTCAGATGAAATATTCAATTAATTTTGGTCAATAGTGTGACAGTTTTTCAACACCACGTCAACTAAACTATCGATTAATTAAATAAATAGGCTTGAATCTCATCTTATTGGACTAAGGATGCATACCATGAGTCCGTCTAGGCTTGAATCTCATCTTAATTAAATAAATAGGCTTGAATCTCATCTTATTGGACTAAGGATGCATACCATGAGCCCGTCTAGGCTTGAATCTCATCTTAATTAAATAAATAGGCTTGAATCTAAATTACCAAACCAACCCCAACATCTCAAAATACCAAAACTTAAAGGCAAAATCCATAGAGAGGAGTAGGATATCCCTACCTCGAAGTTTGAGCCAAAAAGGAGATGAAGACTCGAAGATCAACGTGCTCCAAATCCAAACTTTTCCAGATTAAGTCGAAGCACTCGACGCCCTCTATCTTTTTAACAAAGACCCTAGGCTAGATTCACACTCTAGGGAGATCAAATCTTAGAGAGAGAGTAAGTTTAGAGAGAGAGAGTCTCAGATCTAGGGTTTGAAAGAAAAAGAAAGTGAAAAACTGATGTTCAAAAACGCTACTGTCCGCAGATATAAAACACGCTCACTCGAGCGAAGCCTTTGTCGCTCGAGCGACCAGACACAGAAAACTCTCGCTCGAGCCAAGCAGTTCTCGCTCGAGCCGAAAACTCAGAAGTGCGCTCGAGCGAAAGAATGCTCGCTCGAGCCAACAACTCAAACCCTCAGGTCTGCAACCAGAAGCACGCTCGAGCGACAGACTTCTCGCTCGAGCGAAGAACAAACCAGACCGCTCGAGCGAAGAAAACTCGCTCGAGCCAAGAAATGCAACTCTCAGGTCCAGAACTAGACGCAATCGCTCGCTCGAGCGAAGCCACTCTGGCTCGATCCACCAGACACGAACTCAACTCTCGCTCGAGCGACCAACTCCTCGCTCGAGCGAAGATCCAAAAATCTGGGCAGCAGCACTAGGCTCCCAAACACAACTAACCTGTAACAAACCTGCCCAACACATCCTATAACTCAAATACGAAGTAAAAAGGATGCAAACAAGATAATAAACAACTACCAACATCCACGGACACATGTCCGGATCACTGTACAACAAGGGTAAACCCGGGATCGCTATAATGGCCGCACGTGCGGAGAAGAGGGAAAAAAATGGGTTTTCATTCTGTTTTTGGGCGCTCGAGTGGAATTGGGCCGCACGAGGGGCCAAAGTGGGCGCACGAGCGGCCACCCCTGTTTTAGCTTATGCTGAGTAACTTTGAATAGGCATATCGTTTGCATCCGGACTCCGTTTTGAGTGATTCTTGAGCCTAAAATCAAGCCCCGGAAGTCTAGTTTCCAATGGTGGTAGTCTCACCCCAAAATTCTAAGTACAAAAATAGTTATGCCCAAATGAGTGGCGACTGTTCGCTTTCTATTTACTGAATTTGTACTGTTTCTTCGCCTGAACCTTTCTCTTATCGATTCCTCCTATTTTATGAGGCATGGATTATAACCTATGGAGGAATAATGAGTCTAGAACCATCATAACTATGGAGTGAGGAATAAAAAGAGATTGATTTTATTCTCATAATCTGCTATGCGCATTATGTTTGTAGGTCAAGACGAGGACATCGTTTCACCGCTATCAGAGACCTACCACTGTGAGTAATAGTACGGTTGTTACTAATGTCTTATCCTTGTAAGTGATTAAACTAACAGTTATGTCAGCTGGAAATCAATGTGAATGTTGAAAGATTTACATACGTCGGTATGACTTTGGAATCATTTTGTTCTGTCAATAACGAACATTAACTCTATGTTATCTATAAACGAACTATGTCGTCTTTTAAGAATAAAGGGAATTTATGTTCATCCTAGAATGATGAAATTTGGGTGCATTTAAGATCATTCTGGGTTGCCACTAATGAATCAAGATTATTCTGTTATATGACACATGAATTTGAGATCGTTCAGATCCTATGACATAAATGCAAAGGCCTAATGTTATCATATAACCCACGTTAGAATGTGAAGTGTTCTATTCTCATGAAATGCAATGGAATGGCATGTATGCCCTCTGTTAATGGTATATTCGCTCTTGATCCTCGTTAATGTTTATGTTCTGCTATTTACGAGACAACTATGCTGATAGTTAATATGCACATTCTGTTATCTGCAAGTTAGTGGCATTAATTCATGATGAACAAGTGAAATGTGGGTACATTATGAAACTACAGTATTTATGTACCTTTGGAATCGCCCAATCTGTTAATGGTTGTTGTTAGCACTTTGTTAAATGTAACTTAATTATGCTAACTCATTTGAATGATAAAAAGAAATCGAGTGCCTCCGTATGACTATAAGACTAGTCTGTTGTGATGATAGCTGTGGTTATTCCGTTATGATGTTCATTTCGTTTATATTATGACATGATGAGACTTATTGATTTCTGGTATGGAACAAAGTGTTGTACGGAACTAAGTGCTACACTTTGGTGGGAGCCACCTCTAGAATCCGTGCGAGCCACCTCTTGAGTCCATACATATATGTGAACTGGGCTTAAAGCCGTTATGTTATTTCTGGGCCAATGGCCGTTCTGTTATTTCTGGGCTTAAAGCCGTTCTGCTATTTTTGGGCTTAAAGTCGTTCTGTTATTTCTGGGCCGATGGCCGTTCTGTTATTTCTGGGCTTAAAGCCGTTCTGTTATTTTTGGGCTTAAAGTCGTTCTGTTATTTCTGGGCTTAAAGCCGTTCTGTTATTTCTGGGCCAATGGCTGTTCTGATATTTCTGGGCCTATGGCCGTTCTGATATTTCTGGGCCTATGGCCATTCTGTATCTGTTAGGCCTATGGCCGTTTTGTACATTACTGAGCTTAAAGCTACTCTATTAAGCAAACTGAACCCATGGTTGTTCTGAAATTAATTACAGAAAGAAGTTAATTATATATCTATACAGTTATGCTTTATTATTCAAGTTAACCATTACATTATTTATATACTATTATTCACTGAGTTTCGTTCACTCTGTATTTTGTCTGTTTCTGTAGGTAATCAACCGGGAGGCCGGTCCTAACCTTTAAGGCTTGTCTCTGTCTTGTCAACCTCAGGGTGTCCAGGCACATAGATGAAGCCCGTGCATTTTGTAAAGTTTTGCTATGTTTTGGTTATTGTTTCGGTTGTCTATCTATGGTTGAATGTATATAACCCGTTCTTCATTAATGTTTTTATTATACGCCCAATCGTGGAGTTGGTTCTAAGTATGTGCGTGTATGTGACTGAAGCTCGGGTGTGTGTTCTTTGTATATTATTTACCTAATGTGATGTTTGTGATCCTGGCATAATAGTAGTAGCTCAATGGAATAGATTTTTGTGTTATCAGGTGCTTCCGTTCAGGTCCCATATGTTATATATGTCGTTTTTATGTCTGTCTGTTTCTGAGGTAGTCATGTCCAAATTTTTAGGGGCGGGTTTGGGGCATGACAGGCCATGCCTTCATCTTAATCGAAAGGATTTAATCAGGTGGAAGGTTGAGCAGTCAGGGATATTTAAAGTTGGCTTTGTGTATAACTGGTGCATGCAAAGTTCTAGACCTGTCCTCAGCTTTCCAGATTTGGTTTGGAATAATTTTGCTCCTCCTAAGGCCAAATTCATTAATTGTCTTACATGGAGAGGTAGGCTGAAAACATCTGCATTCCTTAGTAGACTTGGAGTTTTGAGAGGTAATGGGATTTTGCCCTGTGTGTTGTGCAAAGCTGAGGTGGAAACCTCTAATCATCTCCTTTCGTTTTGCTCTTTTGTGTGGCATGTTTAGTCAAACATCATGGCCTGGTGGGAAATTCAATGGGTGATACCAGGATCTTTTGAAGATTTGATGCAATGGTGGTTGGGGTGGAAGTTTAGGAAAAAGGAAAAGAAAGTTTGGGAGTTGTTTTTGTTTCTGTTGTTTGGTCCTTGTAGATATATAGAAATGATTGTATCTTTAACAATACTCAACCTGTCATTGATGATTTGTGAGAGTTAATAAAATTAGAGTAGCCTTGTGGTTTAAGTTTTATGATATGAGGTGTTTCTACTCTATTCAAGAGATTGTTTCAAATATAAAATGGGTGAGACAAAACCTCTAAGGGTTGGAGGAGGTAGATGCTTGCTGAAATTTGAATGGATGTTACCTCTACTGCTATTCTGCTATGGCTGGCTGCTGTGTTAGTCTGTTTTCTCTGTTGCTACCTCTGCTGTGATAGTCTATTTTTCTGTTGCTACCTCTGTTGTGATATTCTGCTATGTCTCTGCTACTACCTCTATTGTGATAATCTGTTTTTTTATTATGAAAAGCTATTGCTACTCTGATATGGCTGGCTGCTATGATCATAGTGTGCTTTGTTTCTTAAAGGGCCTTTTCTGAGGTTGCATGGATTTCTTCCTTAGAGTATTTAGTTGTATTATGGCTGCATTATGGTTGTGATTGGTTTCTCATCAACATGTTGGTGTGCTAGCAAATGATTGGTCATGCAGTTGGGTGCCAACCTAGTTGGGATCATTGTGTTCGCTTTGATGTTTTTTGCACTCATTTTCTTCCATCCTCTTTTTTATTGATGTAATCAAATTATTATCATCAATAAAGTTTTTTCTTTTGCCGATCAAAAAAAATAAATTAAAAAGGCGATAAATCACACATTATCCCTTTTAAATTTCAATATTTTCTTATTTTCATCTTTAAATTTGGTTTTTAATCACTTTGATGCTTATTGTTTTAAAATCAGTCTACAAACTCAGAAAATAAACAACCAAAGGATTGTAATCTGTGTGGCTAACTCTTTGACCACCAAAAAAGAAGTCTTAGATCCATTTTTAATAGTGAAATAGGAGGCAAAATAAAATACTTGCAAGACAAAAGTAAGAGTTCCATTCCCTCGAAGGTGCAAAACCAAATATCATTGTTGAGCCACATCTTATATTTTGTTGCCCTTAAGTTCTAGTATGTTTCCATTTTGCTTCCTAATTTTTTAAATTTATTTGAATTTGCTCTAACATCCAAAATTTGTCCAAAATTTTGATGGAAAATGTTGTGTTGTTGCCATAACCCCAACCCCCTTCTCTGATAATATTCTCCATCTTACTTCTATCACCAAGAAG